ATACCTTTTTTCAGAAGTGCAAAGATGTGTGAGTACCCAAAGTAAGCGCATACAATGACCACCAAGGCCGACAAGATTTCAATTATCATTATGAGCACGCTACTAGTATAAGTTAGTATGGATGCAGCTTTCCCCGTGGTGTTCTACTTACAAATATTTTCTACATAGACAAAAAAAAGCACCACAGACAGTCGCCTCAAAGGGACTGGAGTGGGGTCACTGGGGGGTGTTGAATTTTGCAGAAGAAAGGAGTTTTTTCACCGATCTCTTAGCCGGTTTTCCCCTTTTTCTCTGGAAAAAGATTCCTTTTTCTGGAATAATCGATGATTTTAGTGGGCGGGATTTGAGGCATGATGGAGTGGAGTGGCGTCACTGGCGTCAGTTGCGTGTCGTAAACTGTCAACTACCTATCATCGATTCAAAAGAGTAAAGTATTTTACGACTGTCGTAAATAGTTTTGCAATTTTGGGAACTATGGAACTAAATATTTACAGATCTCGCAAGTAAAGTTGCGATGTATCGAGGTGTATGCACTAAGCCCTATGCCTACTAAGGTGCATAGTCTCATTTTATTATGGTTTTTGTTTTTTTTGTTTTTTTTAAAAACACACAAAAAGACATTTTCTTAAAACTATTGTTGTAAATACATAGCAAACACCCCACACTAAACACAACAAAAGTTCAAAACAGATCTAAAATAAAGATTAGTCATCATCCTAATTGAACCCCTCCTGGTACGTACATATCTGCTATGTTAATCACTGCATATTTTCCAAATTTTATTTTGGCTCGAATTCCAAAAAGTGCATCTCATTTTTTTCAAGATGCTTCATAGTTGCTGCAAGGTCTCGTTAGGGATCCATACCCAGGGTCAATAGGTGTGCGTGGTGCACTTGCGTGCTGTCCACCCACACTCTCAACTGAGGCTATGTTAAATATAACTAACTCGACTTGAGTACGGCGTCTTGGTACTTCTCTGGGCGGTTAGACACGTACTGCTGTGTCCACCTCGAGTAAATGTTCGTCCCCCGCATTAGCGTCAGTATGGCAATCAGCATCCCCAGCGCAGCTCCTGAGTGATGTCAAAGGAGTATTCACGAATGTTTTAACAAGGAAGTACCAGGCGCTATGTATATTATCAATAAAAAATGAATTCGCCCTTGTAAACTAATTTTCCAATGGTCCCAATGGACGTATGCTAGGTGCTCTTTGAGGGTTGAAGCCTGCTCTAGTCACCTGCGAACAAGT